TCATTTTCTCAATCTCCCCTCCCTCTCTACACTAGATGCGCTAGTCTATTCACGCAACAGTATTTATATTAGACTTTGATGCCCCTTTATAATGAAGTTAATTATTAATAATAATATTGGGCCGTCACACTATCATAAAGTAAATCAGACGATGGGCAGCAACGTCATAGCTGACGCGTGGAATGCTGCGGTGGTCAAGCCAATTTAAGATTTAAGATTAAAACTTCTCTACAGTGATCCTCTAAAACTTCGTGACTGTTAATTAATTGTCACTGATTGGCTTCAGACAAAAACCTACGATGATATTGTGGCAGTGATATCATCGTTATCATAATCTATCTAGAAACCGTTAACCTCGTAACGAAACCGTTATAACCTCAGTAACGAAACCGTTAGTGGAAGAAGCAGTGCCTGGCTAATGGCACCTGCATGCCTGGCACGCACGCACGCACGCACGCACGCACGAACTCACGCACGCACACACGCATGCACGCACGCAAGCACACACGCACACACACACACACACTTATATATATACACACACACACACACGCGCGCGCGCGCACACACACACACACACACACACACACACACACACACACACACACACACACACACACACACACACACACACACACACACACACACACACACACACACACGCCACGCACGCGCGACACACGCACGCTGACTAGTTTCTGACTAACGATCATGGTATTGATAATTATGAAATGTTGATTATTAAAGATTAAACCTTTAAAATGATATTACGTAAAAAGCGTTATTTTTTTTTAGTATATTAAGTAAGCATAAACTTTTCACAGAAATTGTATACGTACAACATAATCCAACAGTTCATTGCAACATAATATTCAATGCCGTTTTCTTTTGCTTGCTGCATATTGCATAATTCATTACGTGAAATGGAAAGGAAAACAATGGCAAGCGAGCTGCGACGCGGACAATTGAGCCGGCACTGGATGGGGAGCCGACCTCAATAGTTGGAGCTACAAGAAAATGGACCATTCTCTAACACTGACTTGGATGAAATGAGACTAATTGCCTTGATGTAACGGAATATTTTTTCCAATTTCATTATTAATAATTATTCGTTTCTGTTTTGTAAATTAAGAATGAAGTGAAGTAAAAGAAGACTGAAGTTATAAGGTAGCATCATCACTACTCATGCTCTATACAAAGTTCAATTCGCCTAAACCAACTCTGAAAACACTTCTGCCAGTCTTAATCTGACAGATCGGAAATCGCTTCTTTGTAGCAGCCACCTTCTCGCCAAAAAACCTTGCCTTTTTACGAACAAAGAAATCAAAGGAGCTAAGTCAGGGCTGTATGGTATGTGACTTAGAGTTTGGACACCAGATTCCTCAATAAATGCTTTTGTTCCAGGGGAGGTATGTGAAGAGGCGTTATCGTGATGCAGCACGATTCCCCGAAGCCCGATCTTTGGTCCTTTCTCCCGCATACCTTATACTATACTTCTCTACTTCTTCTGTACTCGTAACATTATCAATTATAACATCTGTATCTAATTTGCAATACTGCTTTTTTAAAGAAAACATTTGTGTTCAATTCACGGAGTAAGAATGAGTGTATTTTTTAATATTAACTATCGGAAACTCGTAAGTGATAGTTTAGTTAAAGGTAAAACTACAAACTTTTCTAAATCATCATTAGAAAACCCTAAATAATGATCAAGATGAAATAATTAGGTTTAGTTCACTTCAGAATTATTCTAACTACGTATTTAAAACCGAGTAAAGTCAAGTTATCCTATGGATATAATATATTGAAATAATTATGATTTTCACGCTGCCGACATTTGCTTGGTATATTTTTTTTTTTGTTATCAAAATACGATGGTATTTTTAATGAAGTAAAACCTGACTTTTATACAGAATTTTTTTTATGAATTGTATAGGTTTTATAATGCCAAACTTCTTCATAGAAAAGTTGTCTCTAAATATAAGCTTTAATTGTTTTAAGTGCTGCAGATGGGTGCGGTTGCATGTGACCGCTCGGGCTATGCCGAGCGCATGCGACTGCATGGGATTTTTATTGGGATTGAGGGGTTAAGTAGATTTCCTTAACATGTATTAAAAGATAATATCTAAAGTCGAATTTTGTTAAATGTATAAATTGTTAAATGTAAAAGTTATTTGTTAATACCTATTTATAAATATTTATCGTATTTTTATGGATCTCTGCAAGTAGTATGTACTTCTGTGAAGAAGCCTAGCAATTTGTACATAATATTTGTTACTCTTAAAATTAAATAAGTTCAATCAACGTTAAAGAAAGCCAATACTTTTAAAGTAAAGTAAAGTAAAGTTACAGCCTATATACGTCCCACTGTTGGGCACAGGCCTCCCCTCATTTCTGAGAGGGTTTTAGGTTAAGGAAGTGTCCGCCGCGCTGCCCCAATGCGTGTTGGCGAACTTCACATGTCTTCGAAATATTTTTTTCTTATTCCTCAGACATGCAGGTTTCCTCACGATGCTTTCCTTCACCGCCGAGCACGTGGTAAATCAGCATTTAAAATTAAACCGGGATCGAACCCGGGTTACTCGCGTTCTGTTATATTTACAGTGAGCGTTAACCATCTGAGCTACCACGGCTCAATTTTACCGTTTTCAAAAAAAACTAATGCTAAAAACAAGCATCCAAGCGCAGACTATTTATTTTACAGGAAAGAAATACTTGTTCAGTGCGGGAGCAAATTCTCAGTCCTATATACAATACTATACAATGCTGCAGCCAAACGCTTAACCACTGCGCTACGGAGTCGTCATAATTTTTTTACTTAATGATTACTAGTGTATTTATGCGTTATTTTTATGTTTATTTTATACATATTTATGTACCTAATAATGTAGAGATATAATTACAAATTGCTGTGTGTATGTGTATGTGAAATACATTGATTTCTAGTCCTCATCGACATTTTTACTCAATCCCCACGTAAAAATCTTTTTTCTTATAAATCAATATAAAATATTTAACTTTTATGACTTAAAAATTACGATAAACAATAGATCGATAAAAATTATATCAACAAAATTATTCACGGATAGATATTTACAGCAATAGTATAATTCACATAATATGTTGTCAGCACTGTTATTTAAAAAAATAAATCTCATGTCTTGATGTTGATAGAGTAGTTTGGCGCCCTTTCATATATTTAATTTTATTAAGGGAGTCCCGCCTCTTAAACGTAGTAATTATATTCTCTTTTGTACGCATATGCAACGAAAAGTGTATTTTGTGTAAATTGCTGCTCTGATAGTGGTTTTGTGTTGTTGAAGGACGGTACTAAAATTGTTAAACGTTTCATATTGCTTTTCTGTTTCTTAAAAATCCTACTAAACGATAAAAACCATAATATTAATAGTTCTATTATAACCTCAAAATCTGATACTTTTTTTTAAATATATCTTTTCTGCAGCTAGTCAGCTATAAAAATAAGATCATATAGGAAATTCCTAACGTCGACAATACAACATACAATATTCCAATTTGTTTCCAAGGCTTTTATTATTTTGAAACAGTTTGTGAAACTAAAAAAATGTAACAAATTTTACTCACGAACCAATGGAAACAATGCTTTCAAAATTTACGGGAGTAAAATATTTTCCCTAATTTCTGGAAAAAAGTTATAAGCGAGGTAAATTTAACTGTCGGCCATTAATAAAGATTACTGTGACGGCCGCGAACTAAAATAATCCATAGAGTAATGGCCACGAAAAATGCGATTATTGGTGTGGTTAATATTTTAACAGGCGGTTTCTTCTCTCTAGGAAGCCATTTGAGTAGGTCACAGCAAGTTAGATAAAAATATGGTTTTTATTCAATGTTGTAATTTTAAGACTGCAAATATTTTAATGTAGACATTTTGATTGATCAAAACTTTGTACATTTTGTTAATTTTTAGTATATATGGAAACACAATTTTACATCAAATTATACTAGTCTTTCTACTTATTCTACTCTTTCTACACTTTCTACTCATTCTACATACTTTTACTGATTCTACTTGCTAAAAGTTTTCATTTAAAACTCCACTTTTTGAAGCACTAATGGGTCGGCTCGCCCGAGGAGGGACAACGCTCTCACAGAATACCAGCGCAAAATAGTAGCTTAATGCTGCTGTGTTTCTTATGATGAGTGTAGAGAACCGGAGACCCTTTTTACTGGAAACAAGACATTCTATCTTAGTCCTCACGGATGACAACGCATCTGCATTTTGATTCGTAATCGAGGATAGATGTAGATGTCTATGGGCCACAGCAACCACTTACAATCAGGTGGACTGTGTGCTCGTTTGTCACCCTATCCTATAAAAAATAAAACTCTACAGTGATAAGCCATGACATTTACAGCGGTAACCCAGTAAGGTCTGCAATGTGGTGACTTCCAAAGGAAGAACTCTAAGAGGAAGAACAAGTAAAATTCTTGCTCGGAGTAACCCATAAAGAAAATCGTCAGACTACCCATAATGGAAGATTTAAGGAAGAAATTCAGCCAGTCCACCGAGGTGTCAAGCATTGCGCTTTAAATGCTCATACCAACTTTCTGGCGTGAAGGTCCACGGCTATGGTACATAATTTTCAAAATAGTCACCGACTACATTAAAAGAAGTTTATTACAACTAGCTCAGATAGTGCTCGTAAGCTAGAGGAGCTCGGCATCGAACATATCTCTGACATCCTTTTCAACGTTACCATAGAGCAGCAGTACAAAGCCATCAAAGAATGTCTCATATTGGTCTACGGAAAGAGTGAGAGCCACCAGTTTCAGAAGATACTAGTCTACTAAAACTACTACGGCGCACGCGAAACATTGCAATGGACAAGATATCAGACTCGAAACTGCGTATGTTGTGAACCAAGCTTTTTTCGGCCCACTTTTGCTCAGTCTACGCCGTAAGTAAAAGCTTCAGTAGCATAACGACTTTAGAAACACTTGCATTACTAATTGACAAAATGCTTGAACAATCTCCAGAAGTCACAGCCATCTCGTCACAGCCACCTTTCTCACTACTACCGTCTCTACCTTCAACCGCAATAACTCAATCCGATACATGGTTCCTTATCGACCAGACAAAGAAGCTATCATTAGAGATCACTGAGCTCAACGCTAGCCTTCTTACTTACCACAACCACCACCGTCAACGTTTCCGTTCCCACCAGCTAAGTTCTACACGTCAAGAATCTCGATCGCCTGCAACATCAACATAACCGATGTGCTATTAAAATTGCCGCTTTGAGAGTCAACCCTGACGCTGTACTACACCTTGCAGCTATAATAAGCTAGCGGAAAACTAAATGGAACGACAGATGAGGTGAAAGCCGGTGTTCACAATAGGCCATACCACCTAGTAGTCTCCGAGAAAAAGATAAATATACTTTCTTGGTAGACACCAGGGCAAATATATCCATCCTACCTCGAAGACTAGGCTAGAAAACAAAACCACTACCTACCATTCAAGCTATATGCAGCGAATAATATAATGTTATCTATACATATGGCAAGAAAATATTGGAACTTAACGTGGTAGAGCCATGCTGCGGTTATATTAGTATTATAGTAGTAGCACGAATGGGTCGGCTCGACCGGGGAGGGATCACGCTCTCACAGAATACCAGCGTCGAATAGTAGCTTAATGCTGCTGTGTTTCGTATGGTAAGTGTAGAGAACCGGAGACCCTTTTTACAGGAAACGAGGCATTCCACCTAAGCCCTCACGGGTGACAACGCATCAGGATTTTGATTCGTAATCGAGGATAGATGTAAATGTCTATGGGCCACAGCAATCACTTACCATCAGGTGGACTGTGTGCTCGCTTGTCAGCCTATCGTATAAAAAAAACCTTAACTTACGCCGACCGTATAAGTGGAAGTTCATCGTAGCTGACGTATTGTAGGCCATACTAGGAGCTGATTATGTGTGTTTCGCGTATTTCGTGCAAATTCCACCACATTTGTAAATGTCAAATTTATTGCCGAATAACTTCGTTTTTTCCCCCAATATCTTTAATGTCAACTTTTTGTGGTTTCTACCTTCCTTGTATAGATAACAATAAAATTACTATCATATCAAAAATCGTAATGAAACGGTAATGAGAACGTCAAGGAGGGGAATGATATTGAGAAGTTAAGTTAAAGGATAGGGATGATGAGGGATTTTCATCGTAGACGTTACAACTTAAGCTTTCTAAAACACCCTTCCTGTTAGATTGTTTTAGTATTTTATTTGTATTAAGACATTTTATCAACAAATCGACCTTAATATGAACTTTGCAAGCACACGTATTTCTACTGGACTCCTTTGGGTATAAAACCCATAATGGGCGATATTTACAAAATCTTTGATACGTTATCATTCGAATTATGCGTAAATTTTTTGTACAAATTAGTCAATGTGTCCGTTAAGTATCTTTTCTGCTTCCTTATTTGGTTTTTAGTTATATTTTTTTTATCAGCTGCAATTCTAGTCATCTCCTCATCGTCAAAAAACTCCAAAATTAGTTTCTCTTTCAAGTTTTCATTTTTAGCCGTCTTATTTTCTTTTTTATCTCTTACTGTAAATATTTTTGTTTGTGTCAAGAGTTTATATTTTTTTAAACTTTTCTTTTTCCGTCATAACCAGATTAGAGAATTCTTTCTTATCCTTTTTCTCAAGCACTTGTAACCTTCTCCAACTCTTCTTGAAAGTATTTCACCAAACATTAGTCGCTCTTTAATTTCTTCACGATTTTGTGTATTAACATTTTCTACTAGTTGTTCTACTTTTTCTTCAGTCGATATATTTTCATTTTTTTCTTATTTTTCATTATTCTATACAACATTTTTCTAATGCCACCTTTCTGTTTCTTCGTTTTTTCTATTTCATTTTTCAAAATGCCTATTTCTTTTTTATGTAGGTAGCGAACCTTTCTCTGAAAAATATTTTCTTTAACCACCCTTGACAAGAATTACTATTACCGTAATCCAAACGATTTAGATATGAATTAGGTATGAGGCTTAGAGCTGATTGAGTGAGAGGATCTTCTTCAGCTGGATGTACTTCATTGTAACTATCTGGCGGAGAATTATCTATTAGCAACAATTGAATAGCTTTTTCTTTCTTTTTTCTTTCATAATGACGTTTTGAATTAACTCTTCACTTCTTCCTCTGAACTCTCAATTGTCTAGGTGTCATATCTTTTGCGCTACTTATTTTTTTCTGTTCTTTTCTTTTAAGGTATCCTGCTCTTTCTTTTCTTGCCTTCAGATCTGCATACTTTTCAGTATCTTCCTTAATTTCTGCATACTTTCTTTGTTTTCATAATCGATCGCACTCTGCTCGTTTCTGCTCTAATGTTTGTCTGGCTTTCTTTGGCATTATTAGTTCTTAATAATCTGTAACAACACATTATATGATATTGCTCGTATTCATCATAGTATCAAGCTCATCCTTAAAAACTAAAGTAATAAAAAGTACACTCACGAGGTTAGCTTGTGAGTTTACTATTTGTAAACAAACTTAAAGCTACATCAAGAAACAAAGTAAAAACTATTAATTCTTTATTTCACTATGAATTAAACTATTATTATAACTATCGTAGTAGTATTATTGTGGAAAAAAATCTCAACTACGGGTTGGACTAGAACTCGCGACCACACGGTTTGTAATGTAATAATGCACTGTAATAAATAATAATAAATTGACGTAAAATTGATTCTAATTGTCATCGTTTTAACCTCATCACCATCGCTAAAAAAACAACGGTAAACGAAGGTAGTGAGGACGTAGGTAATGAGGTTTATATTCTTATCTAATTGTTTCTTAAAAATTATCGAAATTACGAATTTCGTGCTTACTTTAAATTACGGCGGTAATCACTAGAATTGATAATTAGCTACATATTAAACTAAATCATTAATACTCACTTAATAATATGGACGAGAGGAAAGAGGACGATTTCAGAATAATCACTTCCCGCGAAACTTTACACGTAAATATTTCTTTCCAAGAACAGGCGTGAACCTTCTACGACGTTTGTTGGCTGGCTGAGACTTGTGAATACGCGGACTATAATTTAGATTTTCACTAAAACCGATGGTAATCAGAATTTTTTTTTGATAAACATTTATGAAATAAAATTTCTTTATATTGTGGGGTTATCGTTATTTATTTTAAGTGTAAACGTTGTGTTTTTTAATAAAGTTTTATAATATTAACCATATTATGAAATTTTATATTTAATGTTTATATTTTTGGTTAAAAATACAATTTTTTTAGGAGAGTAGTAAATGGACACCGAAGACAATGAGAATTATCGAAGTTTTTTATTTATCATTAATTTATTACGTTATTTTTATCTGTAAATATTACATGCATAACCACTATACATTCGATTTCCTTTATAAGAAATGTAGATATAGAATAAAAAAATGAAGACTTTTCTCCTGGACGTGTAATGTGCACGAAAAATGAGAAACACCCTTATTTCAATCACCATCAATTGATTTTAGAATTAAAAAATCGAAGATTAATTGACGCAGTCACAAACCTCAAGATCAACGCTCCACTCAGTTCTACAGATGTATTAACCGTACACAATATCGACATTAATAGTAACAACCAAGACATTAGCTAAATTCCCTGATATGTCACAAGTAGTCAGTGCAGCTAAAACCGAAAATCAATAGTCAAACATTTTATTGCGACACTAGGTCAACCCAGACACTGCAAGGCTCGACCCATTCCACCATATTGATACGAAATTGTTAAAAAAGATTTCGAAAACAAGCTTCTACAAGAGTTGTGCAGACCTAGCAAGGTCCATGGTCATCGCCGCTACATATAGTACCGAAGAATAACGGCGACGTACGTGTATGAGGAGACTATAGGAGACCCAACGTGATAACAATAGCCGATCGCTACTCCATCACGCAAGTTAAGGACTTTACACATCATCTGTCTTGCAAAACAATATTCTCAACTATAGATCTCAATCGCGCATTTCAACGAATCAACATAAGGCAAGAAGACCAAACAAAATATTAGAAGTGTTATTATAAATGCAAGAAGAAAACGGCTTTACTATTAATCCACCCAAATGAAACATAAGCCAGCCAACAGTCAAGTTTTTAGGTTACACAGTCTCGCAAGAAGGAATATAACCACCTAAAGAAAAGGTCAAGATCATTAACTCTGATGTTTCTCAGGCATGCTTAACTTCTACCGCAACCATATACCCGATGCTACTAATATACCAGCACCGTTAAACCGATATCTCCACAAAGCAAAGAAATGCGATAAAAAAATTACGGAAAGACGAAGTAAAACAGACATATGAAACGTGTAAAGCAATCATAACCAACGCAGCTTTACGGCTTTACAGCTTTACAGCTTTCATCAAACGGTACTCGCTATATTCACCAACTTAACACGTTCACGTTATAATTTGTTTTGTGTTGTTAATTGTAAACATGATTGTAAGCTATTATTGGAAAAAAATAGTCCCGCTGGATTTCTTGCTGGTTCTTCCCAGGACAGAGGTTTACTGCGAACCAGTGGTAAATTAAAAAAGTGACTTTCAATAAGTATTGTTATAATCTACATTGAATAAAAAAGTTTCTGTTTCTTTTTCACAGTCCCCCATACAAGGGTCATTTTTTCCTGTCAAGTTCACTTTTATTTTTGTAATAATGTGTTGTTTAGGTCCTATAATGAAATAAAATTAATAAATTTTTTATTGTTTTATTAATTTCTATAAAAAAAATAACAAAAAGCAATATGATTCCTGGCGGAGTCGTAGACTTCTAACTCTGAAAAAACATGACTCTTGATGGAATCGTGAACTTATCAATTTGGAATTACACTACTCTTTATGGAGTCACATATATGTTTGGCGCTGAATTGCAATTTATGAGAAAGTAGGCAACGTTTTTTGTCAATGGTAACGTAGTAGTTCGTTAACAAATTTCAAACAAAATAGTGAATTCTTGTCAATGGTTTTGTTTTTTGCGAAGGTAGTTTATAACTTTTGAATTAGGTCACGCTAACACTAAATCTCCAACACTATTACATTTTACGCACACGTATATGTTAAATACATCAACATAGAAAAGGTTATGATAAGATGAACAAATTAATTGCGATGCTACCATATCGATACTTATATTGATGGTTTCCCTAAGAAAAAGAGAAAAACTCAGAATCATTAGTAAAATGCACTCAAACAATTAAA